CCCATGTCATACAATCTCACAGGATTTGAGGTCCATTGGGGCTAGATGGGCTGAAGAGGCCACCTTCCAGTTATTAAAGTTTGAATAAAATGAAGTACATCGGCCGAGAACCCAGCTTATATCTCACATCGACATTACCGATTTATTTGGTGGAATTTCTTGAAATTTTTATTTTTTTTAATATTGTTTATAAGTTATAAGTTTAATTTTTTGTTAGAAAAAAATTTAAAAGTTATTTTTAAAAATAATAAAAAATGAGTAAAAATAAAGTTTATAAAAAATAAAAGTTTGAAATTTTTCAAAATTTACTGTTTAAAATTTTTTTAAAATTAAAAAAATATAAAATATAAAATTTTAATTTATGAAATATAAACAGTATCAAAAAATTGAAATACTTAAAAATTCAGCAAACAAACCCACATAGGTACCACAGGATGTGAGATGTGAGATAGAAGCCCCATCTTGGTGGGCCCAAACTAAACTGTCAAAATTTTCCTAGGTGCCACTGTGCTCAATTCCCTGCACCATTACTGCCGGCCTTTCTACTGAAGGTTTGTTTTTGGATGGGGCTGAAGTTGACAATGCCTGTCCATGCCTCCCAACTAAGAAATATAGTTAGGACTTCAGGTCAGGCGTACAAATTAGTCGATTTTTTTTTAAAAAAAAAAATAGTATACAAATTAGCCATAGACTGGATTAGCTCAAAAAGTGAACCTAGATTGCATTCATAAATTCGTTCCTTATATTATAATTAATGGTTAAAAATTAAAATCTTAATCACAAAGTAAAAAGTATAGTAATTTCGCATTAATTTTCATTGTTCTCTAAAACAAATTTAAATATAAACATAAAAACAAAACCTAGAAGATGGTGATGTAAAGCATCTATATTCTATCTAATGATATTCGTACTGTGGGTTTGGTGAAAAAACATGATTTTGTGGCCCCATCTTGTATCATTTACACCCATAAATCGTTTTAGTATTATAAAATAGGTGTAATTCTTCCTTTTAATACGCAGATCCGGTGAGTGCGTGCTGTATTGGGTCGAGGTTTAGTCAAACTGTTAGCTGCAATGCAAATTGTGCAGAAAAAGGTGCAAAACAGGGCGACATATGGTCAAAAGAATCTCCCAAACCCTTCCGCAGAAAAGGAAACGACAAGCTTCAAACACAAACCCCCATCCTTCCCCGCTAATTAAGGCGACATGTTCCTCCCACGT